TAGGCCTCTGAAATTGTTTAAATTTGGTTTGCAGCCTTGTCCCACACATAGACAGAAGACAAGCCTACTGTATATAAATACTTTATCATTTACAGTATTTTATTATAAAATAGCAGAACAGTGATTTCATGCCACGGTGGTTGGATTACCACAGTTTGCTGCACAATAAATCTCCTTCGCCTCTTTGTTGAACTCATTGTCTGACCTGTTTTTCTGCAAATGTTGCAAAACTTTTTATTTGAACCAATTTTATGCATGTATTTTGGACAGTATCTTTCTGTGCAGTTGCTACTACTGGTGGATGCAACTACCTCTATGAACCAGTACCAGTATATGCATGAGAAGTTAACTGGTTCTAAACCAGGCAAAGGTTTGACAGAGTGTGTTTGGTTGGCAAACCTGACAAATGAAGGCTATATTTGAAGCCCTAAACATCTGCAGTTCACATATTATATGCATTTCCTCTTTCACACATGCAAAAAAACATAAAATACACAACATAGTGTGGCGCAGAACATAACAAACAAAGTAAGTTGTGTAAACTGAGGTAGACGGGGCCGAAAACTTCAGAATCATCTGTTATCAAACCTGCTGTTTATTCTACATCTATAAGCCTCTGCAACATCAACAAAGGAGTGGAAAACAAATCCTCTGAACTGTTATCTGCTGTGCTCAAACTTGGGATCAATCAAACATTCTCTTGAATTCATAAAAAAAAGTGAACTGGCTAAAGTCCAGTCTTTCTGATGCAGTGTTTGTACAGTGTGTCTAACTTCTCTGGAGAATATACAGTAGATTTCAACACCGCTGTGCACTACGAAAAGTTAGTTTAGTGAGCATCAAACTGAAAAGAATCCTCACACTGATGTAGTATTTGGTTCTTCTGCATAAATATTTCTGTCATGTGTGTCTGTAAGAGAGTTATTACATGTGAAAATATTCCAGTCTCCAAACTGGATGAGTAGGAGGGGGGAAAAGCATGCTTTTAAAACCACTTACACAAGAATACTGGAGATAAATGTTGCTGCCTTTGTATAACCTCTTCCTGAAACATTTGATTAAATGTATCTTATTTGGCAGCGGCATCCTGAAAACCAGTTACAGCTCTCAAATGAACAATGAAGTTGGTGTTTTTTATGGTTCAAACTCCAAACTGACCCTTTATAYGTCGTATTTCTTTCAGTTTGCCTTGAAATACTTGACCGTCTCGGGTCTTATCATGGCAGAGTTGATGCTACGTGGTTTTTAAATAAAAACCACTGTGGCTTTTGTTGAATGTTTTATTCGTGCTCTGAAATCACTTCAGACCGGCTTCCTTCAATAATCTGAATTGCTAAAACAAGCATAAGTGGAAAAGCCAACACGGACCAACTGGGCCATGAAAGKTTACCATCCGTTTCAAGGGAACAGCGGCTTTGTGGTGCACCTTCTTGGTTTCAGGGCAAATTCTTGATGTTTAAAGATTTTACAGTCAATTATAAAGGCACTGCTCATGGGGAGAAATAAAGTTTATTCTCACAGAGAGAAGAAATAATTAGATTTATTCCAAACTATTCTGCACAACGATAAAAAAAGTGGTTTCTTCTCTGGTTATTGTCACCAAATGAATCCAGTTGTGTGCTTATATGAGTGTAGGCTTCAGAAGAGGTTAYCCCCTCACACCACATTCCTTAACATTGCTCTTGCAACACAGTGTGTACAGATCCTGCTGCTCTGTAAGTGCTCCAGATGACGGACAGGTTTTAAAGAAAACATTAAATTTGTCTGACAAAGGCTCTTTTGTCATCCTTATTCTTCGCCATGAAGTAAATCTTCACTTATCTAGACAGCCTGTCTGATGGTATTTGTTGCAAATAAAAGAGGTGCATTGTCCCTGCTAATCAGCCCTTTCTGAATGATGAAAAATAGATGGATAAGCTTTGCATCAAGGATTAAATGAATTATGAACCAGAGGGGGGGGAGGGGAAATGTTGCCGTGGTTCATCATGAAATGTTGTTTGTTTTAAAAAGTTGTGACAAATGAGATTTCTAAAATTAAAAAACTGGTTCTATTTCACAGTATTCCTTATCCTTAATATTTTATTATAAATTATACTACTTTTTAGCTGTTGAAACCCGTGATAAATTATAGGTCATGTATGCTTTTATGCATGAAATTGGGGATTACAGATAAAAATGATCTTTTATCTAAATCTGGCATATTTATGTGATGTAATCATGTTGACATACATTGTCCCTTTATAAGATAAATTCAAATTCTCCTGCACTAACTGATAAAAACCTAATCTAATAAAATTCCACAATGTATTTTATATGCACAGTCTTCCATTCTAGTTAAGCAGAAACTTGGAAATGTGATCACAGCAACTGCTTTATTTACATAATATTTTGCTGACATAATTTYCGCATAAACTACAGGAGCTGAAGACAATACATATTACCACAGGATCATTTGCACAATTTGAGTTTATGCTAAAACACTAAACAGAAACTYGTCCTTTCGTGACTTGTTTCTGTTTCAGAACCACATTTTTCCTGCTGCTTCCCACGCCTGCACCCCATCTTTCTGTGAGATATAACTTTGACCTTTGTTAATCTTATTAATCAYATTTGAGAAAGTAAAAGAAGAAAACGACTGTTTATTTTTAGCCCCTCTGCTCAGTGACCATCAAGTCACTTGAGGGCCACAACTGTACCAGCAGTTCTCAACCACTAGGTGACTCCCCAAGTTTGTGTTTCTAGTAAAAGCTTTAGCACAGAAATAACAGAATATAATCTGCATGTGTGATGTAATAATCCCATTGTGTCCAGCAAGGAGGAAATCCTCACATTTTCCAGAAATGTTWAAATWTTTCCCAGATTTCTTGAACATCTTTAGTCTTCAGATTACAGTTTATAGAGAATTGTAAGTTGTTTGAGCAAAAAAGTGAAACTGGATACTGATGCAATTAGGATTAGAGCTGTTCTCAGTGATTGTGACAGATACCAGACACCYACCTTGGTTGGGGAGAAAAAGAGAGAGAGGGCTGAGGGAGTATTTAACATGKTGCAGTCATTGGGAACAGCAGGGAAAAGGCTAAGAACGTTGCAAAGTCCAAATAATAATGGTGATGAGGATGAAGGTGAGGAGGCGTACTGTGGAGGTGATTACAGTCTGACAGGACGTGTGAACGGGAGGCGAGGTCAGGTGGTCACTGAGGCTGAGTGTTGAGATGTGTCTGTGTCGCGGCATGGACCAAATGAAAACATGGGAACATATTTAAACGGTAACATTAGATGCACAATCTCACAAGATGGCAATTTYGCAGTTATTTAAAGCTGTTTCGCCCTCTGGCACATCTTGRTAATTGCAATATAAACTCAAAATCAAAAGCTCTGGATTTGTTTCAAGAGGGATGCAGGAACATGTGTGTGTGTGTGTGTGTGTGTGTGTGTGTGTGTGTGTGTGTGTGTGTGTGTGTGTGTGTGT